ATTGGGAGACTTTAACATGGTCCCTTTCCCAGATCTGGACAGATTACATGTGGTAGCCTGTGCTTCTCCTGATCTTAAGCAATGCGCCTCAACCTTTGCCCTCACAGATGTTTGGAGGCATCTATACGCAACCAATAAGGAATATACTGTAGAAGTAATTCATCAAAATACAAGATCCTTTCTCAGATAGATTTTGCTTCCCCTCTGTACTTCGCTGTTTCAAGGAAGCACAAATACTTTCTTGAGGGGTGTCTGACCATGCCCCCCTGTGTCTGACCTTTTTCCTCTCTTCGCCCCCTGGGTCCCTGTTGTGGTGTCTCTCCAGATTGTAGGCAATGGACGAACATTTGCAAGAGCAACTTATGGAATCCCTTTACAACTACTGGGTATTGAATGGGGAATCTTCATCTCCCTTAGTGCTATGGGACCCCTTTAAAGCCTGGTTTACGGGGGAATATATTTCTAAAAGGAGGTGGCTCACTAATTGGAGGCTCTGGAGGAGGAGGCATCTAGGCTATAGACAGCATTTGACCCTACTCCAGATCAGGACCAGCATTCAACCTGGCGTCAGGCCATACAGCAACTCTCTATCTGTTGAGTAGAAAACTACAAAAAGGTGCTGATTCACTCACTCAAAGGGTGTTCAAATACGGGGACAAAAATGGGAGGCTGCTTGTCTGGTTAGCTAAAGATCCCAATGACACCAAGTGGTATTGTGCATAACACAGGGGGTCAGTTGCGTCTGTCACCAGAGCTCATTAATGCCCGCTTTCTAGAATTTTATAGGGACTTCTATTCTTCTCATGTAAACTTTTCCCTCCATGACCTATGTACTGTTCTAGATACTATCCCTCTTCCCAAGCTGGCTGACTCGGCTAGGGAAGGTTTAGAAGCAGATATCTCACTGAAGGAAGTTCAGGAGGTGATTGTGTGCTTACAGGGCAGCAAGATCCCATTGGTGGATGATCTCCTGACTGAATTTTACTCCCAGTTTGTAGAGCTGTTGGCTCCTCCCTGGAGTTGCTCCCTGAGTCTATGAGAAGGCAATCAATGTATTGGTTCCCAAGCCTGGCAAAGACACGCAGGATTGTGCTTCCTATAGGCCTATCTCCTTGTTGAATGTTGACACAGAAATATTTGCCAAGATCCTAGTAGGTTGTCTTTCCAAGGTGATTGAGGATTTAATTGATGTGGCTCAAACTGGGTTCATGTCAGGAAAGGGAACAAACATTAATATTAGACACTTATTTTTAAATCATTCCCCTTGATGAGCATGCTACTGTTTCGGCGTGCTCTTCTCCATTGCGATGGGTTGATGAGTTTAGGTACCTTGGGGTCCAAGTTACCAGAGACCTGTCTTGTTATTTGGACTGGAATCTCCTCCCCTTGCTGTCAGCACTTAAGGCGCAGTGTTCTGCCTGGGCTGGCCTCCCTCTATATCTCTTGGGCCGTGTTAACCTCATTAATGAAGTATCTACCTTAACTCAACTTTGTTTTCCGAAACTGTCCTATTTGGGTCCCTTCCTCCTTTTTCAGTGATCTTCATAAATGTGTGAGCTCTTTTGTTTGGAATGGTGCACTTCCCCATTTGGTGAAGTCTACCATTTGGCTTCCTCCCCAGTTGGGGGGACTGACCCTGCCAAACTTTCATGTATTTTTGGGTGGCGGTCCTTGTCTTGGTATTGGTGGGTTCTCAGCTCTAAATCCAATGCTGCGGTGTGTTTGGACACAGCCTTCTTGGGATTTCTGTTAGACTTACGTATTGTAATTTAGTGTACAGATGACCAAAATCATATGGGGGTGTACCTGCTCCGATGCGTGTCACTTGGAGGGATGTAGGTTGCTGCCTAGTGTGATTTTATGAGTTCAAATCAGTGGTCACTAGCCCAACCGCTCTGGGGTAATCTCTCCCTTCCTAACTTTCACACTATTCCAGACCCCCCAAGTCTGGGCATAATATGGCATCAAAATCTTGGCCAAAATTATGCCCCAAGGGATCCTCTTGCCCTTTCCCCAACTCTCCTGCAATTTCTAACTACCGGCTAGGATGTTGTTTAGCTGCTTTCAGCTGCAGCATGCTGCCAGAGCTATCCTATTGAGCAACTGCTTCCCCTGGGAGACTTAGACAAACCCTTCTCAACCTGTACCTTTTTGAATATTAATTCCCCCAAAATTATAGCATACAGTATGTGGGAGCAGTGGAAAGATGATATTCCATATTTGGACAGGGAGGACTAGGAGGATAGTGGAATGGGGCCCTAAGCTTGTTATCTCTTCTAGGGACAAATTGATCCAAGTTAAGTTTCTCCATAGGGTGAATTATACTCCTTCAAGACTCCATAGGATATATCCAGAACGTGTCCCTATCTGTCCCCAGTGCTGAGTACATCCAGGGACCTATTTTGACATGTTTTGGTCAAGCCCTGTAATTGTAACCTACTGGTCTGATGTTTTTACAAAGATTAATCTCTGATTGCCACTGTCTCTGCTGACCTCCCTGCATCTAGTCTTACTGGGTATCCTTGCTAAACTATTGATCTCTTACCTTTTGTTTTATGCAAAAAAGGAAATACTGTTGAAATGGTCATCAGCCCTCCTGAGTTGTCTGTCTGGGAGGCCCTGCTGGATGCAGCTCTGCAGACTCGCCTATATAGACTCATCTATATAAATTGGGGTTGCCCTTGGAAATATGATAAGGTTTGGGCTCCTTGGACATCCAAGCAGAGATTCTTCTTACCTTCTTTTACCCCCTTCCTGCCCTGACCAACTTTCCGTGCTCTCACACTTTGAATGACAGCTATGCAGTAATACTACATTGTACCCAAATTAAATTTTTATAATTTTTTCACACATATAGAGCTTTCTTGTGGTAGTATTTATTCACCACTATGTTTTTAATTTATTTGTGATGTAAGTAAAAAAAAAAGCGACAATTAAAAAAAAAAACCCCCCTGATATTTTCTACTTTCCAATAAAATAAAATTTTGTCACAAATTTAGACCAAAATGTATTCTGCTACATGTCTTTAGTAAAAAAAAAAAAATCCAGATAAGTGTACTATAATTGGTTTGTGTGAAAGTTAGAGTGTCTACAAGCAATGCTACGTATAAATGAAAATTGATCAATGCTGATGTACAGACTCATTTCTTGAGGCCCTAAAATGTCAGGACAGTACAAATAACCCCCAAATGACCCCTTTTTGGAACGTAGACAGTTCATGGTATTTAGTAAGCATGGTGAGCTTTTTTAAAGTGTGTTTTTTTTCTCACAATTATTTTGAAAATGAAGAAATACTGTATATATAGTTGTCATATTAACAAGTTATTTCCCACACATGGCAAAGGCATACTTGCAATTACACCCCAAAATACATTCTGCTACTCCTCCTGAAAATGGTGATACCGCATGTGTGAGACTTTTCCACAGCATGGCATACATACAGTAGCCCTACATCCAAGTAGCACCTTCAGGTGTTCTAGAGGCATAAATTACACATCTAATTTCTTGACTACCTATCACATTTTCGAAGGCCCTGGAACTCCAGAGCAACAAAATTACCCACAAAATGACCATACTTTGGAAAGAGAACACCCCAATGTGTATTCTATGAGATATATTGAGTCTTTTGAAAATATCATTTTTTTCCACAAGTTTTTAGAAAATGTGCAAAGAAAATAAAAACTTATTTTTTTTTACACAAAGTTGACAATTTATAAGGTATTTCTAAAACATAGCATGTACATACCACTAATTATGCCCCAAAATACATTCTGCTACTTTGCCTATGTAGCTTTAAAAACATATTAATACAACTGATATCCAATTGAATAAAAAGAAATAGTTTCACTTTAAAATTTAGTAAGACAATAATGACAATTATGACTTGTGAATATAAGGTTAAAAACATTCACATCTCAATGAGGCACATATATTACCTGTAAAGTATAAACATATAACAGGAATATAAATGAACAAAGGGATTACATTCTTACTTTGAACCATCAGGTGCTATCATGTGCTTTAATCCCATTGATTTTTTTCTATACTATATGTAGTTGAAGCTTTTACCATAATTTCAAGATACTGTAGATTTTATGTTCATCCATGGATCATTGATAATGGTTGTGACTAATGAAATCCAATAATCAGAACAATGTTTCTCAACCAGTGCCTCCTTTTGCCGCTTCCTGTCTACTGTTACAATACATTCGATTTTTAGACTGGTCATTTCTTTGTGATTGGGCAAACATTCAAAATCAGCAGGGGATCGAATACTTATTTCCTCACTGTAAGTATGGTAATACCGCATGTGTGAGACTTTTCCACAGCTTGGCCATGTACAGAGGCCCAACATCCAAGTAGCAACCTCAGGCATTCTACAGTAGTGGCATAAATTACTCATCTAATTTCCTGACTAGCTATCACATTTTGAAGGCCCTGGAGCACCAGGACAATGGAATTACCCACAAAATGACTCCATATTGGAGAGCACACACACCAATGTGTATTCTATGAGACATCATGAGTCTTTTGAACATTTCATTATTTTTCCACAAGTTTTAGGAAAATGTGGAAAGAAAATTTAAACTTTTTTTTTTACACAAAGTTATCAATTTATAAGTTATTTTTAATTAAAAAATAAATGGTGAGTGCTACAGAGATGGAAGCAGCTGGCACAGAAAGAAAGTGACAAAATATCAATGCCAAAGTAAATAGAAAACAGTGCAGCACATAAAGAAACTATCAAAGTGAACAATGTAGAAATCAATGAATAAAACAAAATACATTATATCCAAATGTGTCTCAGTGTAACAAACAATAAAATAATAAACAGTATAGTTCTTCCAGTATAAGTCTGTAAGCTTATGGTGCCAATTACGACAAACAGTGTTCAATCCCACCAAGTGCTCTTTATCCAGTGCAAGGTCCTCCACTACTATGCACTCGCCATAGAGCTACTTGGTCAGTAGCATGTATATCTTAACCATGTCATCCACTCTCCAGCGACACAGTACAGGAGATGACCAGAGACTGCGGACACAGTACAGGGGATGACCAGAGACTGCAGACACAGTACAGGAGATGACCAGAGACTGCGGACACAGTACAGGAGATGACCAGAGACTGCGGACACAGTACAGGAGATGACCAGAGACTGCGGACATAGTACAGGGAATGACCAGAGACTGCGGACATAGTACAGGGACTGACTAGACACTGCGGACACAGTACAGGGAATGACCAGAGACTGCGGACACAGTACAGGGAATGACCAGAGACTGCGGACACAGTACAGAAGATGACCAGAGACTGCGGACACAGTACAGGGAATGACCAGAGACTGTGGACATAGTAAAGGGAATGACCAGTGACTGCGGACATAGTACAGGGAATGACCAGAGACTGCGGACATAGTACAGGGACTGACTAGGACACAGTACAGGGGATGACCAGAGACTGCGGACATAGTAAAGGGAATGACCAGAGACTGCGGACATAGTACAGGGAATGACCAGAGACTGCGGACATAGTACAGGGACTGACTAGACACTGCGGACACAGTACAGGGAATGACCAGAGACTGCGGACACAGTACAGGGAATGACCAGAGACTGCGGACACAGTACAGGAGATGACCAGAGACTGCGGACACAGTACAGGAGATGACCAGAGACTGCGGACACAGTACAGGAGATGACCAGAGACTGCGGACACAGTACAGGGGATGACCAGAGACTGCGGACATAGTACAGGAGATGACCAGAGACTGCGGACAAAGTACAGGAGATGACCAGAGACTGAGGACATAGTACAGGGAATGACCAGAGACTGTGGACACAGTACAGGGAATGACCAGAGACTGTGGACATAGTACAGGAGATGACCAGAGACTGCGGACATAGTACAGAAAATGACCAGAGACTGTGGACACAGTACAGGAGATGACCAGAGACTGCGGACATAGTACAGGGAATGACCAGAGACTGCGGACACAGTACAGGGAATGACCAGAGACTGCGGACACAGTACAGGAGATGACCAGAGACTGCGGACAAAGTACAGGAGATGACCAAAGACTGCGGACATAGTACAGGGAATGACCAGAGACTGCGGACACAGTACAGGGAATGACCAGAGACTGCGGACACAGTACAGGAGATGACCAGAGACTGCGGACACAGTACAGGAGATGACCAGAGACTGCGGACACAGTACAGGAGATGACCAGAGACTGCGGACACAGTACAGGGGATGACCAGAGACTGCGGACATAGTACAGGAGATGACCAGAGACTGCGGACAAAGTACAGGAGATGACCAGAGACTGCGGACACAGTACAGGAGATGACCAGAGACTGCGGACACAGTACAGGGGATGACCAGAGACTGCGGACACAGTACAGGAGATGACCAGAGACTGCGGACATAGTACAGGGAATGACCAGAGACTGCGGACACAGTACAGGGAATGACCAGAGACTGTGGACACGGTACAGGAGATGACCAGAGACTGCGGACACAGTACAGGGGATGACCAGAGACTGCGGACACAGTACAGGGAATGACCAGAGACTGCGGACACGGTACAGGAGATGACCAGAGACTGCGGACATAGTACAGGGAATGACCAGAGACTGTGGACACAGTACAGGGAATGACCAGAGACTGTGGACATAGTATAGGAGATGACTAGAGACTGCGGACACAGTACAGGTGATGACCAGAGACTGCGGACACAGTACAGGGAATGACCAGAGACTGCGGACACAGTACAGGGAATGACCAGAGACTGCGGACACAGTACAGGAGATGACCAGAGACTGCGGACACAGTACAGGAGATGACCAGAGACTGCGGACACAGTACAGGGGATGACCAGAGACTGCGGACACAGTACAGGAGATGACCAGAGACTGCGGACATAGTACAGGGAATGACCAGAGACTGCGGACACAGTACAGGGAATGACCAGAGACTGTGGACATAGTACAGGAGATGACCAGAGACTGCGGACACAGTACAGGGGATGACCAGAGACTGCGGACATGGTACAGGGAATGACCAGAGACTGCGGACACAGTACAGGGAATGACCAGAGACTGCGGACACAGTACAGGAGATGACCAGAGACTGCGGACACAGTACAGGGGATGACCAGAGACTGCGGACATAGTACAGGAGATGACCAGAGACTGCGGACAAAGTACAGGAGATGACCAGAAACTGCGGACATAGTACAGGGAATGACCAGAGACTGCGGACACAGTACAGGGAATGACCAGAGACTGTGGACATAGTACAGATGACCAGAGACTGCAGACAGTGCAGGGGATGACCAGAGACTGCAGACAGTAAAGGAGATTACCAGAGACTGTGGACCTTTGGGGAGGGAGGGGGAATGGGTACCTGAATTTGACAGGTACCCCGCTCCCACTTCCGCGGAGTTGTCCTTCCTTCTTCTTCCCGCGGCAGCTTCTGTGACAGCCGGGTGCCCACTGCACATGTGCAAGAAGCTCTGCGCTTTGTGAATGGCCCGGAGCCTTCTGGGACCTATCATGTGTCCCAGAAGACACTGGACCATTCACAAAGCGCAGTGGGCAACCGGCTGTCAGAGAAGCCGCCGCGGGAAGACTGCAGCGCTGGAGCGAGGAACAGGTAAGGTCCTGCAGGAGAGAAGAGCTGAGCGGCCGGCCCGATATTCTGTAATGGTGGCGGCAGAAATACCGGACCGGCCACTTTACATTCGCTCCATAAGACGCACTGACATTTTCCCCCCTTTTTTGGGGAGAAAAAAGTGCATCTTATGGAGCCAAAGATACGGTACGTACCAAGAATTACACTCCACGATACATTCTGCTACTCCTCACTGCTCCCTTCCTGGCAACACAGATCAGCTCTGCTTCTCCTCAATGGCGGGCTGTTTGTGAGGAGAAGCAGAGCCAATCAACTGACAGATGGTTCTGTTTACAATACATAATGGCTGTGATTGGACACAGCCATCATGTGATCAGAAAAGCCAATCATAGAGCCCTTCTGCCAAGCGCTCATGCGCTGTGTCCAAAGGAGCGTGCAAGTGCACACCCACATTCTGAGGGACATACAGGTACGTCGACTCAGAGCAGTGTAGCTACAACTTGGCCATTGCACTTAAATGGTTAAACTTAAGTGGTTAAAGGAACTTCACAGGCCTGTCATTTAGAGAGTTCACAATATATTCTTTCATTATAATTACAGAGGAGTTATGAAATAAAAAAACCATAGTATGCAGGTTGGAATACAGGGATCCCTAAAAATGTGGCTGTTTCACAATTGGCCTCAAGACATCATGACTTTATTTACATGGCTCTGCGCGTCATCCTAAAATAAAATGTTTTTCTGGAGAGTGATTTAAGCAGTGACATGCAAATATTGTTCGTATTTTAAAAAGGGTTATTTTATACTTGGCAGGATAAATCCACACAGCCTAAATTGTCTTCAGAAAAGTCAGCTGTTGATTTCTACCAAAGAAAAACTAGAGTTTGTTTAGCAGAAAGTAAATCATGGTTGTGAGAGTTTGCTGATGTTTGTTCAGGGATTTGATTTTACAGTCCAGAAGGGAGGCCCATGGGTCTTTGCAAATAACAACGAGAAAAGAATTAGGAAGTACAATAAACCAAAGATTCCAGACCAGATATGGGTGAATTTAGGACATTTCCGTCAAATGTGTAGTATGCCTCTCCTAGCATTTAATCCCTTGAAGCATTTGTCATTATAGTTAGGCAATACAAGGGCTATTTATGCATTGAAGCATTGCAGGCACATGAGAGCTTACAGTATATGCTGATTCTAGTAGTGTAACCAGCTTCTAGAGCATTCATTCTCTATTTTGATAATCTGAGGATAATTTTCTTACTTATTTTAGTGTCTCAAAAGATTTTATGACAGCAGAGCAAAAGGGTAATATAGCCATTTTATTTTTTAATGTTTATTTAAATAACTGTTTCTCTGTAAAAATTGTAATTATACAATTACAAGGGAACCATGTTTTCTCGTTACATATACAGGGTTTTCTTCCAGCTCACGATTAATCTGCTCCCTTTAGCTATGGGGTTGATTTACTAAAGACAAATAGGCTGTTCATCTTGCAAGGGATTTTTCAATTAGCTTAGTGAATGAAGTGAAATTTTACTTTGTAAAGAATACACAATCACGTGCTTGGGAAAATTTTGTTTGCACATGATTGGATGATAGTCAGCAGAGCTTCAATTCATTCAGAAAGCTAAGGTAAAATTCTCTTGCAAAATGAACAGCTTATTTGTCTTTAGTAAATCAACCCCTATGAGTAATTCTTTGATTTAAATTAACGCACTCCCAGTGTGGCTTACATTTTATCTTAACAGCTCCTTCTAGTGGCTAATTTACAAATGCTTTCTATAATAAATTGATAAATATATGGAAGCATATAAAATTATGAAAGTTACTTCAGATATTAGTTTAAGGTAAAAATATTTATTATGAATCAAAATATGTGCTAACTGAAAATGCACTACTTTTCCTGTTATATGAAAATAAAAGAGCTTAAACTTGGTTAGCAAGAATTATATTGACAGGTGAGAAGGTCATAAATTGGAGTGGTGTAATGACCATTTGTAGGAGAAAAGATGTCCAGTGTTTAAATATGAACTCCTCTGTGTTCATTAATATATAATAAAATGTACACTATATTGAAAAGGTATTGGGACACCCCTTCAAATCATTGAATTCAGGTGTTCCAATCACCTTCATGGCCACAGGTGTATAAAATCAAGCACTTAGGCATGTAGACTGCTTCTACAAAGAATGGGTCACTCTCAGGAGCTCATTGAATTCAAGCATTGCACTGTGATAGGTTGCCACCTGTACAATAAGTCAATCCATGAAATTTCCTTGCTATTAACTATTCCACGATCAACTGTTAGTGGTGTTATAACAAAGTGGAAGCAACTGGGAACAACAGCAACTCAGCCACGAAGTGGTAGGCCACATAAAGTGACAGAGTGGGGTCAGCACATGCTGAAGTGCACAGTGCACAGAAGTCGCCAACTGTCTGCAAAGTCAAAAGCTAAAGACCTCCAAACTTCATGTGGCCTTCAGATTAACACAACAGTGCATAGAGAGCTTCATGAAATGGGTTTCCATAGCCAAGCAGCTGCATCCAAAAAAAAAAAAAATAAATCCCAGTATCTTTCCCGACATTTATAGACTCTATAACTTTCACGTAAACCAATTAATTTACACGTATTGGGATTTTTTTTTTTAGCAAAGCAATGTCGCAGAATACATTTTAGCAGAAATTTATGACTAAATTTGATTTTTACATTTTTTTACTGGACATGTTTTATAGCAAAAAGTCCAAAATATTGTTTTTTTTTCCTTAAAATTGTCAGCTTTTTTTTTTATAGTGCAAAAAATAAAAACCGCACAGGCGATCAAACACCACCAAAAGAAAGCTCAATTTTTGGAAAAAAAAGGATGTAAATTTAATTTGGGTGCAGTGTTGCATGACCGCGCAATTGTCAGTTAAAGTAACGCAGCGATGTAACACAAACCGCTTCTGTAACTGCTTCCTGACCGCCATATAGCAGAAATACTGCTACAGGGCGGCATGGGTACGCAAAAATCACATATATATATATTATTATTATTATACAGTATTTATAAAGCGCCAATAGTTCGCTCAGCGCTGTACATTACA